GCTGAGCAGGGAGCCCGATGTGGGACTCGATCCCAGGACCCTGGGATCATGACCTGAGCCGAAGGCAGACGCTTAACGACTGAGCCACCCAGGCGCCCGAAAGAATGACTATTTTTAAATTCAAATGACCTCAGACACCACTTGTCAAGGAAAGAATTTAGTTCATGGTTTGACATCATCTAAATATACCACTTTAGTAAAATAACAAACTATATTAAGTTTATTTTCCCTAAAAGGCTGTCATTGAGTCACTGAGTCAAAGTTCAACTTACTAACATTTCCTTAAACATTTACCGAATGACTGGAGTTTAAGTACAATAGAAGTCACAACCTCTGCTTAGATCAGTCCTCAGATCAGTTACTGCTCAAAACAGTAATGGCACCATAACCGGTTCTTTTCATTAACATTTTCCTCAAAAGGTATCAAGAAACTTAATCTTGCATCATTAGTAATGTAGAAAAAATACATATTAGATTTTAAATGCTCCAGTAGACAGGGACACCTGGGTGGTTCAGTCGATTAAGCACCCGATTCTTGAATCATCTCAGGTCATGATCTCAGGGTTGTGAGATTGAGCCCTGTGTCGGGCTCCCATGCTCAGCGCGAAATCTGCTTTAGATTCTCTTTCTCCCTCTCCCTCTGCTCATGTGCCCCCCTCAAAATAAATAAAATCTTTAAAAGTAAATAAATAAATACTCCAGTAGACAGAAGTAAAAACGTCTATGCTTCATCAAACTCCACACTGCATTTGCCTATGAAATAAAAATTCTTCCAACATTTAAACAAACAAAAAAAAGGAAATAAAAGTCTATCTCACAATTTCAAAGACTAAGTTATTAATGGAGTCCAGATAACTCATGTCAATTAAATGCCTATTAAAATTTTGACTTCTAAATGGTATCAGGACCTACAATCTTACCTGGGGAGGATAGTTGCTCTCTGAAGACCACCTTGAAGATTGGTCATTTGGTTTATCCACTAAAATGTTCCTGAAATAAAGAAAATTATACAAATAATTAAAATAAGTGAATATGAATATGCAAAAAGAGGAATAATCTATCAGATGCTGAAATTATCATAAAGTTATATAATGTCTGTAGCTTAAACAAAAAGAAATAAAACAGAGTAAGAAACAGAAAAGTTCTAGTATATATAAGATTTAAAAAAATACGATAAAGGTAGCATTTCAAACAATGGAGAAAAGCAAGAAAAATACTTCTACTTCATACCCGAGTGACAAAGTGAACAGATATGTTTAGAAATTTAAGATAAAAAAAGAAAATAAAATACCTAAGAATAAATAAAATACTATTTACACATATTGGTTATGTTATTATATTGCATACAATTATATTGTTATATATTACATATATGTGTGTTATATATATTATATGCAATATCATGTACATATATGTATATGCATACAACCAATCTTTTAGATTAAGAAATTTTTTTTTTAAGATTATTTATTTGAGAGAAAGAAAGAGTATGAGTGAGAGGAGGGACAGAGGGAGAGGGAGAGAGAAACTTTAGCAAACTCCACACTGAGCATGGAGCCTGACACAGGGCTCAATCTCATGACACTGAGAGATCGTGACCTAAGCCTAAACCAAGAGTCAGATGCTTAATAGATTGTGCCACCCAGGGACCCCTAAATTAAGAAGTCTTTAAAGCACAAGGTCAAAAACAGAACCGTGGGTAAAAAAAGGAAGTGATATAAGTAACTTTGGAAGATGGTGCTTTCGCTGGAAACCATAAGGCTAGAGAAAAATGGACCCATGCATAAAAACTGTACTGTATTTGATAAAGTTGTTTTTCACAGAGATATGGGTTAATTCTGAATCAGTTTACATGAATATTGGGGTTGAACAATTAAGTTAATAGATGGTAGATGGTGGAATCAAGCTTCTCACTTTGGAGTGGAAAGTTATAGAAAAGCAAAGGGAGGAAGGTTAGAATGAACCCTGTGGTACTGGACATCACTTGAACTCATGTTTAGTTTAATATGGACACAGATAAATAGATATGAAAATAATTATAGATATATATGTGCATGCATGCACAAACAACACACAAATATTATTTGCTAGCTCTGTTCACCAAGAGGGACTAGAAGTAGTGACACCCCAGTAGCAGTGAGCACACTCAGCACCCAGGTCTTGGTTTCTACCTAGCATTCCCCAATTAAAGAAAACAGGGATTCTCAGGCTGGTTCTAGAATTGGAGCAGGTAATTCAGAAGATAAGCCTGGAGCACAGATTAAGAAATGAGAGAGATAAATTAGTTTGCCTAAATATACATACACCTAAGAAGTGCCAAACTATTATTTTCTTCAATGTACAGATAAAGAAATGAGATAGATACATTAATTTGCCTAAATATACACACACCTAAGAAGTCAGGATTTTAACCTGAGGCAGTCTGACTCCAAAGCCAATGTTCTTAATTACTACACTATACAGCCTAAGAATTATTTCCACTTCTTGGAACTTACCTAAAAAATAATCCAGGGGATGTAAATAATCCACATTCATCACAGCACAGTTTATAATAGCAAACTGTAAGCAACCTAATTGTATTACAATCAGCAATTAGACAAATTATTACATACTTGTGTTAGAGAATACCATGTACTCATGTTCTACAAGCTAACTTTAATGTCATTGGAAAATGTTCACTACAAAGTAACTGAAGAGAAAAAGTAGTTTATAGTAGATACATGATGAATCAAGTGTTGTAAGTAATAATATTCATGCACGGAGAGAAAGACAAAGCATATACCAAATTGTCAATGCCACTTTCAATGATGAGATTACATGGACTTTTTTCCTTTTTTGTACTTTTCTAGCTTTCTAAAATTAACACATATTACTTTCATAATCAGTAAAAAAGGTGGATTTCTTTCTTAAAGATTTTATTGATTGACTGATTGATTGAGCATAACCAGGGGAAGGGGTAGAGGGAGAAGGAGAGAAAATCTCAAGCAGACTCTGTGCTGAGCAACGGAACCCGACACAGGGCTCAATCTCACAACCCTGAGATCATGATGTAAGCCAATGAGTTGGACGCTCAACCAACGGAGCCACCCAGGTGCCCCAAAACAGTGTTTTAAGAATGAATTACAGGGCGCCTGGGTGGCTCCGTCGGTTGAGCGACTGCCTTCGGCTCAGGTCATGATCCCGGAGTCCCGGGATCGGAGTCCCGCATCGGGCTCCCTGCTCGGCGGGGAGTCTGCTTCTCCCTCTGACCCTCCCCCCTCTCATGTGCTCTCTCTCTCATTCTCTCTGTCAAATAATAAATAAAATCTTTAAAAAAAAAAAATGAATTACAAAACACAAAATGAAGACAACTCTACATGAAAAAATACTATAGATCAAAGCTAAAGCTAAAAAACTAGGATTTTTTAAAAATCACTTTGACATGAATATTATAAAGCATGAAAGAAAATCTGATAAAGTGGGACCACAAAAATCATTCATGTTAATGAATGACATGAAGGAGCTAACCAGTCATAATGTGAAAAGTGAGCACACGGACCACTAAATGCAAAGTCAAGGGAGCAAACAGTTGCAATATGTTGTGGTCCTGTGAATTTTGCAATGCCTATTAAAACAGCCTTTTGGAGATTCAGCAGTTTGGATATCTGAAGCTAAAATTCAGGGGAAATGCCAGGACTGAAAAATACATGTGTCTTGGGGCGCCTGGGTGGCTCAGTCGTTAAGTGTCTGCCTTCAGCTCAGGTCATGATCCCAGGGTCCTGGGATCGAGCCCCACATCGGGCTCCCTGCTCAGTGGGGAGCCTGCTTCTCCCTCTACCACTCCCCCTGCTTGTGTTCCCTCTCTCACTGTGTGTGTGTGTGTCTCTCTCTGTCAAATAAATAAAATCTTAAAAAATACATAAATAAATAAATACATACATACATGTGTCTTTAGGGACATCAGTACATCATAGCTAAAATATTTAAAGCCTGACACTGAATGGGATGACATAAGGAATGAAATGGAGCTAGAGAAAGCAAAGGTCTCATTAAACTCTGGGGGTCCATCATTTTGGGGGTCTAGACGAGAAAGGTTGAGCAAAGGAGACTAAAAATGGACAAACATGAAGAAAAGAGAAACCCAGAAGTGTGTATGCCAAGTGAAAATATTTTAAGAAAAGAAGTGAAAGACTACGTAAAATGTTTCTGAGAAAATAGGGTTTGGGTGGTATTCATCCTCATATGCCTAACTCCAAGGCTAAATGATGCTACACACAAAATGCTTAATAAATATTTGATAATGGTATGAACAAATAAATAGGCAGCACTACAAAGAAAAAATTAAAGTAGATCCATCAGGGACGCCTGGGTGGCTCAGTCGTTAAGCGTCTGCCTTCAACTCAGGTCATGATCCCAGGGTCCTGGGATCAAGCCCCGCATCAGGCTCCCTGCTCTGTGGGAAGCCTGCTTCTCTCTCTCCCACTCCCCCTGCTTATGTTCCCTTTCTCGCTGTGTCTCTGTCAAATAAATAAATAAAATCTTAAAAAAAAAATAAAGTAGATCCATCAAAGCATAAGATATATTACTCGTACTTATTACCTATAACTTAAAGCTTATATTAAGTTAAAATAAAAATAAATGAGAAATGGGGCACCTGGCTGGCTCATTCGGTGGAGCATGCAACTGGATCTTGGGGTTGTGAGTTTGAGCCCCACGATGGGTGTAGAGATTACTTAAAAAAATCTTTTTTTTTTTTTTTTTTAAGATTTTATTTATTTATTTGAGAGAGAGAATGAGAGACAGAGAGCACGAGAGGGAAGAGGGTCAGAGGGAGAAGCAGACCCCCCGCTGAGCAGGGAGCCCGATGTGGGACTCGATCCCGGGACTCCAGGATCATGACCTGAGCCGAAGGCAGTCGCTTAACCAACTGAGCCACCCAGGCGCCCCAAAAAATCTTTTTTAAATAAACAAAGGAGAACTAAAGTACAAACCAGAAATAAAGTGAGGTTAGCCTGAGGGGATTTGGATAGATGGATGCTCAAAGATAATCCTAATAATCTCCAGTTCCAACACTAGGTCAACTACTAGATACCTCTCCTGAGCTCAGCAGCTGACAGACACCAGAATCAGAACTCTTAAAACCACGACAAAAGCTTGGCCATAGTTGAAAACCAAGAGATCCATGGGCAGTTCTCTCCCCCAAAAATGGCATCAACTGCATGAGCATTTCTGGAACAATCTGCTAGTCTCCCTGGCCCACAAAGAGCTTTAGAAAGAGCTAACCTGGTAGACTTGGTTCCCTTTACCACTGAAGCTGAGATTGTACTTACCCTCTTAGCTGAAGATATCCAGATACTGAGAGGTGTCTCCTGGTAACTCACAGAGAACTAACAACATAGAAAGAAGACTGCGGATCTACCCACTATCTGAGTTACGGAAAGCTTTACCCAAAGAGTACACAATACACAATAGTTTGTATAGAAGAATAAATGTACAAAAAGACCTAAGAAAACTTATAAAAAAGAATAGTGAGAGAAGGTCATGTTATTAGCTTTTATAAACATTTCAAGTCCCTATTATTAAAAACAGTAGGGAATGGTATAGGTATAGACCTAGCTCGGAGAAACAAAAACCCAGAAATTGAGCCCAGTGTAGACCAGAATTTAATATTTGATTAAGGGGATATTTTATTTCAGTGGGAAATATAGTTATTAGTTAAATGATGCTTATACAACTGAATTATCTGTTGGGAGAAAATAAGCTAACTTTTGTCTAATACAAAATTAATCCCAATTAACAATTTAAACATACATACATACACAAAAATCTTAGAAAAAGTATTTAGGGGCCAATATAAACAACCAAAAGTGTTGGAAAGATCTTTTTGCCAAGAAACAGAGAAGCTGTAAAAGAAAAGACAGCTATTTCATTATAAAAAACTTAAATTCTGTGTTATGAAAAACACCTTAATGAAAAACCAGAAACACAAAACAGAAAAAAATGTTTGCAAC